TAGCAATCAAACATTGAATATATACGATTTACCAGTAATTCATTAGTAGCGTGAACCATAAATTCATTTTCATTTGTTTACCTTGAATGCAAACTGTCTTGTACAAAGTGTTTGATTAAGGTCACCAAGCTGTATAAAATAGTTATGACAGAAATCAGAGAAAAAACTCAAACATGATCAGATGATTTGGTCAGACCACACATAATCTTGTGGTCACATAAATCATGACATGACGATTTTTTACTCAAAGTTGTAGGATGATCATGATAGGGCGGTTGATGAGTTTAATCAACACTCTGTATTTGACAAAAAATAACTATGTAAGCTCAAGTGTGATTTAAATTACCTAATAGCACAAACTAACAATTGTTTTGGCACAATTATGCATAACGACTATAACGACTAAGATAAAATATAAACTACCATTTATTCGAGAATGAAATTCTATAACGTTTCATTTATAGCATAATGCACCAGCTTTTCAATCAAATGTTACAATCAGGTATCAGTGTATTGTAAATTGTCGCAAAATTTCAAACAATACTATATATATATGATGTGCTTAGTTTCCTTCATGAATATAATGATATTTGAACAAACTAGCCCAAGTCAGTTATTTCGCATCGATAGCACCTTCAAAACTCAAACTTCCGGTTACTCAAAATCTTATATTAGTAGACAGGCAACCAGATGACGTTCTATTGATTTTTTTCACTAAGTAGATGACCCAGGTGGCGTCATGAGTGAAAGATGTGAGTAAGTGACCAGGGTACCGGTGACGTCGAAATGACGTCAAAATTTTGTAATAAGTGGAGAAAAAGTTCTCTTGAACATGGTATGCTAGATATATCATGAACAAATGTTAATATTCCATATCGATTCAGCATTGTTGTGACATAAAGTGCTGCTGAATTAGCCGATACACGTATTTTTATCAGAAAATATTTAGTGAGTACTGTGAGTAGGTATATCGGCTTCACTTTGTTTTGAATGCGTATTTCGTTCGTATTTCACCCAACAAAACATTGAATCGCCTATTCTTGACCAATTCTCGGAATAACGGTCACTACTTTAAGAAGTCATTGCAATGTCAAAGAGAAGTAGGTAATTTTTGATTAAGTCATGTTAACGTCCTGAAGCTTACGAGTTTCACCAAATTGGTCACACCAATGAGATCCTGTCATCTGGTTGCCCGAGTACTCAAAAATGGGGGAAAAGCATTGATGGAGGCAAACAAACACGTAGATGTATGACAGTGATAATTATCTACTGAAATATTGTAAGTAGAACAGTAGTTTGAGATAGATATTACCGCAGCTGCTTTCAAACATTGGATATGAACATCGAAGAAGACTAATAAAGCCATTCAAGTCATGTACTACACAAATAGATACGTACATACTGTCGAGGCACTGTGAGTAAGGCAATCCTACAGTAGTTCAGTGGAGATAGGGTCGTCCACGATTGCGGTATGCAGGTACACACACGCGGATACACCATACGGGTCGTTCCCGGATAAACATATACTTAATCTTGTGAAATGTACAACTTTCAAGGATAGGTCATGAAGCTTACTCGCCATGAATGCCATCTGGAGGCAAATAGTGCCCTTCAATCATCATTGGAAAATATCTGTTAGTGATGAGTTCCATCAAAATGAAACCAGTTTGCGAATGTCTTCGATAGTCATTGGAAAAGGCATCAAATACAGAACAAGTTAGCTACTGTTCACAAGAAGCTTAATATTTTCACACTAACCTATGGACCTATTTTTTTTTTAATTGACTCGGCCGTTACTTCAAGGAAATCCATTGGAAATGTAAAAACTTCACGAACGATAAGATTTCCACAAAATTCTCGAACACACGACATGTTTCGCTAACACAATAGCTTCGTCAGGTGATATGGTACTGGTACAACGAACTAAGTTTAGTACCAGTATATCACCTGACGAAGCTACTGTGTTAGCGAAACATGTCGTGTGTTTGAGAATTTTGTGGAAATCTTATCGTTTGTGAAGTTTTAACATTTACTATATACCTATATTACATGAATGTTTTGAGAAGTAGGTAAGTTGAATAAAGAAAATTGGAGGGATGAAACTGTTCTCAAAATATGTAGGCTAGTAGTCTCTGCCCTTTTTGAAAAATGTTCAATTTTTTTTGTGGAAATGGTAAGTTTCTCAACCGTTTCGACTTGTTCTTTATATCCTTCGTTCTCTCTTTTCCACTTCGAGCTCTAGGATGCTCTGAATTTGATTCTCAAGTGAAAAGTCACTTATCTGACAAATCTTAATGACTTTCGATGACAACATAAACCATACACAAATAAATGAAGATTTCAGGTCAAAAAAACATTAAAGTAAGAAAATATGTGCTAGTAGCGGAAAAACTATTATATATAAAGCACGATACAGAAGACTATTCTCGCCTTGCTTATATATTTGCTACGATACTAAAGCATCTCGGGAACAAATACAAGGTCAGCTTAGAAAAATGTCTTCTGCACCTTGCTATATAATAACCAACGCTTCAGAAATAAAAAGTAAAAAAGGAAAATTAGAATTAGTCAGATGTACCAAGAGTTATAACACCTTACTTCAAACATAACCGATTCAAGCCACAAAACACTATGTAATATTATATCAGTGTAATTAAAATTCGACAGGTAGTGTCCACCATTTCCAACTTTGTTATTATTAAATAAACAGAACTGTTGAAATAGGCATAAGGTACTAGTATTATTTTCGATAATCATCAAGATAAAATTCTGCAGAAAACTGAATTTGAAACAAAAACCAATGAAGCTCAAACTGAAATGATTGAGTAAGTATGACTAACTTCATTTTATTTTTCGATAATACTGATACTTGTAAATTGAAATATTATTTTTCTCAGAAAACGCAATAGGAACTCCTTGTTCTGAATTTGATGTTCCACCAGTAAACAAATCGACTTCAAAACACAAGAACACATGCTCGATCGTTTTTTCATTCTTCCATTTTAATGAGTGTCAATGATAGTACTAGTTTGCTGATATTAAACAGTATTGTATATCTGATAATGCCACCAAAAAAGGCGCCAATTTCGGTCTCTTAAAGATCGAGAATTTCCTTTCTTCAAAATTTATTGGTCGAGGATCTCAAATTTGATAAGTAACAGAAGTTGTCAAGTGTGGTATCAGAATTGTAGCTCCTTCACCCTTTATGCCACTTGGAACCATTTTATGTTTCCTTCTATTTAACAACAAGTATGAATACCTTATTTATTATTATTATTTCAGCACCAAAGCACAAGCTACAGAAAGGGTAAAGAACAGACGTAGCCGCCTATGACAGGATGTGTTTTGTGTAGACCTCATTACTAACTTCATATGCTACTTATGAGCAGGACTCTTAATTGAATAACAACAGTTAATCGTAGACAAACGATCTGAAGGTTATTCCATGAATGGAATAAAAGATCTCTACTCTCAAATTTTGTATGTATAGTTAACAGATCAGTTATTATTCACTGAACAAAATTTCAGTGATGGCATTTTTCGTATCATTGAATGTTGTACTTACTCCACGAGACAAGAATTACCTATAATATTTTTTTTAAACTATGTGCAAGGTTTGTGCACACAACAGTAGTAAAATATATTATGTATGTATATATAATAAAATTTATCATTTTTCTCAATATCCATATAAGTTTTTTGTGTAGGTCAATATACAGAATAGATGTACTCTGAAATCACAAACAAATTGAAAAGGCTACAACAATGAACACTCTAGGTTCCATGGGGAAGCAGTTCTTCACATACAGTAAACATTAATGGGTATGTCCACTTACAGCCAGTGGACAGAGTACATTTTGATCGTAATACAACAGAACTGGATGATAATTTCATCAGAAAAACCAACCACAATAATATAAGAATAATATTCGAACTGGAACTCGAACTGTGATGAATCCCTTCAATCGTTGGTACTTCAAGCAAGCAACTATATTGTGATGCATTAACTTTCTTTGAATATTGTTCATAGAACGAGAATTTGACTAGATAATTTCTTTAAGCCTTTTCTGTTTCAAGAATGGCCATTCTTGTGTTGTAATAATTTGGTACTCATTTTTTGAAAACAAACTACGTCTTGAAGAATAGTTTGTTCTCCAAACAACTAAATGAAGATTCAAATAATATAATAACAAAATTAGTCCGATTTTCCAATTTTCAAAGTGAAAATTGCAGAAATATAGATTTATATATTCATTACCTATTTAAATTATCAATTTTTTGAAGATCCTAACTGACAAACATATATCATCAAACAAGAAATGTAAAAATAAATTAGAATTCCAGAGTAAATATTATACATAAGTAAATTTGCTATCAACGCAAGATTTGATACTATTCAAACATAGTATATGTGGTTTTCCTCAAATGAAAATTCATATTCTCTTGTACCATCAGGTTTGGGGAAAGCACCAATACAACACAAAAAATACAATGATACATAACAGGAAGTGTTCTTCTGCATAGTTCAATATGTTAGTTGCTGCATCCTCGCTAAAGTAACAAGTGTACGTTTTAAACAATATGCTATTTCTCTAAAAACATTTATAAAAAAGACACTAATAATAACATGAAAATAATGGCACTATATATATGTTTTTTTAGATGAACAAAATATTGGGTCAGCATAATATATTACATATACATATAAACGGTGAAAATATATTATTTATATAATATACATATTCCAATCTGTATGTATTGACATACGTATATAAAGTACAAACAATTAAAACCGACATGCTGTCTTTTCATCCAATAAACAGTCGCGAAAGTTTGGATTTTTTATCATTTTCGAAAAAAGGATAACACAAAAGTGCTATATTTATTGTGAAATCGGGATCAACTAACATCTACAGGATCTTCATCCAATAACAGGGTAAAATTCCTCTCATCTCAAGTGAAATTATAGATGACTATTTCTTATTTATTATTTTTTGTTTATGAATCTAGTCAAGTCAAAGCATATGAGCAGGTTTTATCAAAATTTCTGTGCTATCTAGCTCATAAAACTCCATCCACTGTTCAACAAAGCTATCCCAATATATTTCTTTCAGTTTCATTGACTAAACAGGAATAAAAATATTCTCTTGGTTGAAGCTTCTCAGACAATTGATGGAAATCAATGAGATTAGGTATTTATATACAATAATGACAAAAAACCCTGTAATGCCCTGATAATATGGCACCTTTTCCGAACATATAGTCAAATCATTTGAATGAAATAATCCAAAATTTTGCAAACCATTACCAAGCTGATTGATTTCAGAAAATTTGATAGTAGAGTACCTACTTTGAATTGTATTCTTAAAACCACATTACACGCACCACACTTGAATCGTCTTAGTAAAAATCTTATACTCTCTCTACAAAAAAATCATCTCTTCGCTTACAGACCTACAAATTTTTGATATAATTCAGTTCGGTAAAATTTAATAATTGCTCTACTAGACTTGTAGTTTATCACATAGATGACAATTGGCAATTGGAACAGACACGTTTAGTTCTATTTCATCTACACTTGTGTATCACTATGGCACTTAGTGTCCTATGTTGGTGAGAGGATGGCCTCGTCGAAAGGAAACGACTCTAGGATGGCCAGTCTGTCGTCAATCTGGCCCGCTTGTGCAATTGCACCGTGTCGCCGTATTCAGTCCCGCTGCTTGTAGGTCCTGTTGAAAATTCACATGAAAACTTGGAAAACTGCGTTCATATTTGTCATGTAGTAGGTCAAATTTTCATAAATCCAAATTCGAACATAATACGACATTCATTTCAAAGCTAAACTAGACAGAAATTAAATTTGATACAAAAACTACTGAGATATTGAAATGCATATTGAATAGGGTCCCGCCGATTTCATAGGGACAGTTTATTGCTGTTTCCTGTTAAGAGCAGGATGAACAGAAGGTGGTATAGAAACTCCTATCAAATCCCATCTACAGTTTTTCGGTCAAAGTTCTTGACGTACGGCCTACTTGACAGAAGGATTCTTTTTAATATCGCGGAATATAGGTCGCATTTTACCCGTTAGATGGCGAAATCTCAACCAAAATTCAAGGTTGGTAGAACTGATGATGATTGAAATTCACCAAAATTACAGTTTCGTACTTTCAAATTTATTTTCATTTGAGGTTATGTTATCATGATGAAATCGGTGTGTAAGCCAGACAAGAGATTCAATGAATCATGATTTCCATGAGAATATATTAGTGTATACAGGGTTACTGGTATTTAGATACATTCCTTTGGTGATGTGATAGGGGAGGTGGTAGGGAGTGAATTTAAACCTAATATGGATTATGTGGAAGTTAATAGTTTTTGAGTTTTTACATTTTTTCTGTACATCTCCAAAAGGTTGACTTCCAGGGATTAGAAAATCTGCTGTAGGTACATTTTTTCAACCTTTCAACTAGAATAAATGATCAACACTATGCATGGTTTTATGTTTAGAATGAAAAAAATCCAGAAATAAGGTAGATGATAGATAAATTGTAAATACAAAGTCGTATTTCTGGTTAATAATTGTGGATCTCAACACTTTGTAATGGTTATTTTTAGAAAAATTCCTAAGCTACATTTTTTGTCAAAGTTTTGTTGAAACTTCCTCAATGCAATAGCTATCTCACTGGGTACAAATGATAATAAAAGTGCTGGATATGGGTTTGTTATGTTAAATGAATAGTAAAAACTTACTTGAACAACTATCATACTATTAGCATTCACTTTTTGCAAATCCTGTTCAAAATGAGACCTCTATTACGAATACATGCTCGGCAGCGTCATCTTATTTCCGTCTTTGTTTTCCTAGTTGTCAAATTATTTTGTATGTGCAGGGCAGCGTCGGTTATCATTTGTATGAGGTCTTCCCGGGTATTTACTGGGGTTCCATTAACTAGCGCTTCCATATGACCCCACACATAATGATCAAGAGGGGTTAGGTCAGGGCTTCCGCTGGCCAACATTTGTTATGCTATTTGGATGCCTCGAGCAAAAAAATAAAAACTGCAGAAAATGAATACTGATAGGCATTTTATAGTGTGTTTAATACTATTCCTTTGAAATAACAAATCCGTATCAAGCACTTTTAGTTTCATATGTACCCAGTTAGATAGCTAGTGCCTTGAGGAAGTTTTAACAAACTTTTGACGAATGTGGCTTAGAGATTTTTCTAAAAATAACCGCTAGTATGTGGTTAAAATTCACAATTCACAAACAAAAACACGACTTTGTATCTTCAATTTATCTATGATCTGAATTATTTCTGTGATTTTGTGATTCCAAACATAAGACCATAGTGTTGATCATGTATTTTAGTTGAAAGTTTGAAAGAATGTAGAGCTGATTTTCGGGAAACTAACTTTCAAACCCTTGAAGTCTAACTTTTGGGAAAAAAACAAAAAAATATATACCTAACTAACCAAATTTATCTGCTGCCTTTACCTATCGCCTAATGATAATGAATATAACAACCTCTTCGAGTTTTTATCACTCAAACTGGACTTCATTCAGGAGAACCATCCAACAGCTGAAATCATAATCAAGGGAGACTTCAATGTAGACAACGCAGCCTGGCTCATATTCTCTAACAAAACAGATGATGCAGGTCGTCAAACTGAGGCTTTCGTCATCACTCACGGTCTAGAACAACTAGTCAAACTACCAACCCGCATTCCAGATGTCAACAACCATTCTGCCAATACACTAGATCTTTTTCTCACCAGCAATCCTGATCCATATAGAATGGAAGTTTGTGCCCCACTTGGAAACTCTGACCACACCCTCATCTCCACAACCTGCTCTTTCCATGTACCAACCATCCAGCACCACAATTCCTACCCGTCTCATGTGGCATTACAATTCGGCCGACTGGGAAGGTCTTGTATGTTTTTTTCAGCGTTTCCATGGAAGAGAGTTTGTTTCTTCTCAGCAGATCCAACACGATGTGCTGAGACAATTTCTGAAATCATCATGCTGGGGATGCAAACCTACATACCAAACAGTGCAAGGAGAACATCTTCCAATAAGGCCTGGTTCAGTAGAAACAGCTCTAGAGCTGTCGCTTTCAAACAGGCAGCATTCCATCGATGGCAGAAAAATCCAGGCCCTGAGACTAGAGCAGAATATGTCGAGGCTAGAGGCACATGCAATGAGACAATTCGATCATCAAAGGATGCTCATAATGCCAAAATAAGATCAAAACTGGTTGAATGTCCTAACGCATTCCGTTCATTTTGGTCCTTCGCCAAAGCTGTAGGAAGAAACTTCACTTCCAGCTCGTTTCCCCCTCTAACAAAGGAAGATGGAACACTAGCCACAACTGCCCAGGAGAAAGCCAACATTTTTGCGCATTTATTTGCTGAAAATTCCACTCTGGATTCTTCGGGAAAACAACCCCAAACATAACACCAATTGACAGTCATATGCCCGAGATTACCTTTCGCCAACGTACTATAAGGAAGATTTTATTGGGTCTCAACACCAACAAAGCTTGTGGCTCCGACGGAATCCCACCGATCGTTCTTAAGAAATGTGCTCCCGAACTAACACCTGTTCTCTGCAAGTTGTTCAACTACTCTTACAAATTGGGGATATTCCCGTCCAACTGGAAAATTGTAAGAGTACAACTAGTTCCTAAAAAAGGCAAAAAGACCCTACCTAGCAACCACAGACCGATCGCACTGCTATCTATTATTTCAAAGATCATGGAGAAAGTCAACATCGAGCTCATGAAATACCTGGAACATTCAGGTATTATCAACGATAGGAAATATGGCTTCCGTCATCTGAGATCAACTGGTGACCTGCTCGCTTACGTCTCACATATATGGCAGCAATCTATTGAAAAATATGGTGAAACCTTAGCCGTGGCACTTATCTCCAAAGCATTCGATTGAGTCTGGCACCACGGACTCCTCGCCAAGCTTCCATGTTATGGCTTGCCTCCCCAGCTATGTTTTCTGCTAGCAAGTTTTCTCTCAAACAGGTCTCTCCATGTAGTGGTCGACGGAGTTTCATCTGACTCTCTCACCATAAATGCTGGTGTTCCGCAAGGATCAATTCTAGCACCAACACTATTTCTACTCCATATCAACGATTTGTTGGAAGCAACTTCATGTCCAGTACACAGCTTCGCGGATGATAGTACCCTCCATACCGCCTTCTCATCCAGGGCTCCAATATCAGCCAGGCAAATCAGAAATGAACGAGGAAGAAATGTTGACAACTTAAATATGGACCTGGCAACAATTCTTGAATGGGGATCCAATAACTCGGTAGATTTCAATGCAAACAAATCACAAGCATATGCCTTTTCTCTCGAAAAGACGATCTCACTGTGCCAAACATAAGCATGTCAGGAGTAACCATACCTTGGAAAACAACCATTTCGATGCTTGGTATCACTATCAGCAATAAGCTTTCTTGGGAAAATCACGTGAGATCAATTGCTAAAAGTGCATTCCAAAAACTTGGTTTTCTGTTTCGGGTCAGGAGCTATTTCACTTCCAGTCAGCTGCTTATGATCTATAAGGCACATATCCGACCTGTCCTGGAATACTGTTCACACATATCTGGAGTGCGGCACCCAAACATACCCTGAAACTGTTGGATTCTGTCCAAAAAAAGGCAATTCGTCTCGTGGGTGATGCCTCGCTCACAAACTCACTCACTTCTCTGGAACACCGTAGAAAAGTTGGCGATTTGGCTCTATTTTATAGATATTTTCATGGACGATGCTCTTCTGAAATATCAACAATTGTACCTCCCTTGGCAGTCCCCGCGAGATTAACCCGTCAAGTTGAGGCTTCGCACCTCTTCGTGGTCACTTTGGAGATCTGCAGAACATCTCTTTCCAAAGACTCGTTCATCCAACGAACAGCGAGGCTCTGGAACACATTGCCAAGGGAGGTGTTCCCCGAGGCATATAACCTCCAGAAATTTAACACAATCCATATTAGGGTTTAATTTATTCCCTACCACCTTCCCTATCATATCTCCCAAAAAATGTATCGAATTACCAGTAACCCTGGTATACGTATATCAGAACACTGTGAAAACCGAGTCAGCTCACCTGTAGGCGAAGGTAGATTGGTGGGCGTGACACTGCCCGGCGTCGGCGTAATATGCCCCGCCGAGCTCGGCCTCGGGTGGTGCCCCGAGTGCGTCAGGTTCAGCGTCTGTATGTGCGGCGAGTGGTGGACGGCCGTCAGCTGCTGCTGCTGCTGCTGCGGGTGGTGGTGGTGGTGCTCGCGGGGCGGCGAGATCGGCTCGCTCTTGATCTTGACGGGTAGCGGCGAGGCGGCGGCGGGCGGCGGGGGCGGCGGGGTGCCGCTCGAGACGGCGAGGTGGGGCAGGCAGCCGCTGTGCGCCATCTGGTGGCTCCACGACATGGAGGCCAGGCCGATGTCGCCGCCCATGCTGAAGTCTTGCGCGCCGAAGGAGGCGAGCGCGCCCGGGTACGAGAGGCCGGGGGTCTGCAAAGCCACAACGGGGGTGTTAAGAGAGAAAGAGAGATCGCGCGGGCTGTAAGAGCCCTGGGATCCGTAACCGTAAACGCGTTTAGTCGGCGAGAGGTTGGGGAGGCGCATATACAGTGTGACCCACTTCTAATGGAAACACCCCTGTGGAGCGAGAGATATACCAAGAATGCACTCTATCACCAAGTGGAGTCATCTTCAGTGATATACTATGCTCGCCATCAGCCATGGAACCACCCCAATTTCCGGAAAATGATATTAGGAGTCAAAATAGGTTGAAAATCACTTCAGATTCGGAATCAGGACGCCCAATTCACTTACTATTCATATTTTTCCTGGAAAATTTCCAGTTTTGAAAAATTTAATTTTGTCGTACTTATTACGGAAGCACCCCCGTATCTTGCGTAATTATTGAGGTAGGGTTCTGAAATTTGCAGGAGGAAGGGAAAGTCCAAAGATAAAGTCAATTACGTAAGATACGGGGGTGCTTCCGTAAAAAGTGCGACAAAATTTGATTTTTCAAAACTGGACATTTTCCAGGAAAAATATGGATAGTTAGTGAATTGGGCATCCTGTTTCCGAATCCGAAGTGATTGTCATCCTATTATTTTGACTCCTAATATGATTTTCCAGAAATTGGGGTGGTTTCATGGCTGTTGGCGAGCAGTGTATATCACTGAAGATGACCCCACTTGGTCATAGAGTGCATTCTTGGTATATCTCTCGCTCCAGCGAATTTCAGGATCCTCAAGGTGAGTTCCCAATGCAGCTTTTTTGCTTTTCGCGTCACGCGTCACGCACTATGATTGGTGACGCGTAAATGAGAATTGCTGCACTGTTTTTTATTATTTACTTCAGTTCCCAATGAAATTACCTATCAAAGAATTTTTCATTTCAAAACCAATTTTTTGCTCCGATTGCTGTTGGAAATAATCAACTTTGGCACCTAAGACGTAGAAGAAAACATATTTTTGACCTCCGTTATATGAACGATTCAAGTCCCAAAATGATCCAGTTCAGACCTGAGACGGACCAAAATCGGACATCCTATGTATAGTTTATGCAAAGTCAGTTGGAAAAACACATCACCGCAAGCCGTCGGTCCCTTTGAAAGTTCAAAGAGTGCGGCAGCGCGGCCCGACATTCGTTTGATGATCTGTTCAACTGACTTTGCATAAACTATACCTCTGGTTTTGTAACATCGTATGTCCTATGGACGTCCTAAAGACGTCCGAGGTACTAAAAATGAATGCCTTCGGGACTTGGGACCTGTGGGCAGGTTCGATAAACCTCCATTTTCGGAAATTAGGCACAATATCTACATTGAAATACGGTGTACTGGATTAACTTGAAAGGGTTGATATCAAATACCTCGTCAAATACATATTATTACTTACTAAGAAAACAAATTCAACAGTGGTGAACTATTGAGGTCCAATTCCAGTAAAGTAAAATGTCAGAGAATATTTGAGTTTGTTGATTTCTAATGATTCAAAATATATATACGATATATACCTTAGGACACGATCCACAGTTGACTTTGAATACCCCTGATTTTTCGAATTTAGAAGTTTTGTCTTTATAATTCAAAATAAATCTTCTCAACATGTTATTTGTTCTATATGCTACGTTCAAGTCCTGTTTATGTAGAAATGACGCTAATTTTTCAGTTGACGATCCAAAATAGGTTAAAGTTCTATAATTTTGATTATTATTATTCTCTTCGTAATCGTCTTTGGGACGTCCCTAATATCCGAAGCGTATGTCTTTGAGACGTCCATAAGACATACTTGTGCTATCTGGGTAAGTACTTTGGAATAATGAAATGGAATTTCGCCGGCCGGTACTCACTTCGGCGTAGGACACCTCCTCGGCGGCGATACTCGGCCCGAGCGCCGCCGGAATGACTACCCGCAAGTTCGCCCTGGGCGCAGGCGAGTGCTGTTTCGAGTGCTGCGCCTTGGCCGAGCCCGGACTGGGCCCCGGCGAGGGGGAGCCGCCCATGGGCGAGCCGGAGGTCGGGTAGCCGTTGCTCATCTCGAGCATGCCGCCGCTCGGGTACACCGAGTCCGTCTCGGAGGAGGAGGGCCGCGGGCTGAGGCTCGGGTGCGCCATCTGGGGGCTGGACTGCAGGAGGCCGGAATCGGCGTAGCTGATGTTGACCGGCACGGAGACGGGCTGGGTGTAGTTCGAGGAGTTCATGCTAACCTGGAAATAATTCGAGGAATACAGTCACCGGCAAAAAAATTGCGAAATTGATCGCTCTGCTACTTTTTTGATTATTGTCCGATATTGGTGAAATTCCGACCAAATCGTAGATTTATGTTTCGAAATGTTAACCCATTAGCGTCGAAATTATTATTTCCTTTTCTATGATATTTTATGACCTTCAACAAGTGTGAAATGCTTTCAAAATGAGGAAAAAAGTATATAAAATCATAAATGGAATTCAGATTTTCAAAAAATCTGCTGTTGCCATATTGTTTGGAGATATCAACACATAGATCAACTTTACATTTTGAACACATTATCATTGTCAAAATCAAGCTATTCAGCATGGCTCCGCCTAATATCCAAGTGATTAGGGGTCAGTACGAGTTCCTATGCGATGATAACTAATGTTTTGATACAATAACTGATTAGTTCCGTCCATTTAAAAGTAGTACTACTCGATAACATTCAAGAACAACGCATGCCACTTGGTATCTTCGAGCAAGTGCTGAATAACTTCCTCGTTTCCTGCTCAGTCATCCAATTATTATTTTAACCATTACATATTGGAATGGGCGTATTAGAAAAATGTCGAAGAGAAGATCGTCCGGCCACTGGTTCAACATCCATTGGCTCGGCCAGAGTGTCAACATTCGCTGAGTACAAGCGCCTAGCGTTGCCACATGGCAACACGAATATTTGACGCAATCATTCTACACAAAAAACATTCCTGCATTTTTTTTAAAGATGTCACATATGTAACTTGAAGCATGTGCAACATTATATGAAAAACAAATGCGTGAAAAAAGGATGATACGTACTCGAACGTAACGTCCATGACAGTGTGTTTCGTAAGTAAAAATAAACTCAAAGTTTCACGAATTTACTTGGCGGAGCCAGCTAGCTCACAACAAAGGACTGGCGACTTGTGCATAGCCGGTTCTTTTGCGAATCTGGTGGGCTGTCTTTCAACCTCATAGCTAAACATTTGAGTGCTTGGGAATTATTTCTTCACCTGACATGGCAACGCACGGCGCAATAATGGGTTGACCTGAATATTAGTTCCTCAAAAAACCGATGGAAAAACAAAAATTAGCTTTATATATCATGTTTTGGATCGAAAATTTCACTTCTCAACACAATGGTTTTTGATTCACGTCAATGTCATCATTTAAAGAGAAGACACAAGTGTTTTAAGAAAGTATGGATTTTTTAAATTTGCAGAACCTACATGAACTGATCGATGAATATATGGAAAAAACATATTTAAGTTGATATCAATCAATTCCACCTCGTTTTTTAGCACTCACTAGTAAACAGAAGCCTTAATTACTGAAAACAAACGAAAAGCAGACCTCCTAGATGTCAATAACGAGTATGCCCTCCTCGAGCAATCAACCGCTGTGGCATTGAGATTATCAAATTCCTCAAGCTGTTGGAGAGAACGTTCTGTATGGACGATACGCATTCTGGACTAACACTAGACGTTGTCATGATATGTCAATAGTTCAACTCGAATACTTTCTCATTAACTCATTGTGAATATATCCATTAATGAAGTTTGAATTAGTTCCTCAATACTACCGTGAAGCTCTCGCTAACAGGTTATGGGCCCAGAGCATACCAGGTCTGAGTGATACTCTATATAGCCATAATCCAGATTCTAGACGAGACTCAAGTCAGTGAGTAAGTGAATCAGAATCAGAAGCGAAGTGTGTTGTTGGGAATCTTTGGAATCATAAGCATCACAGGAGTGTCAAGAATTGATATGCTCAACAAAGAAAACTACGACACATGGAAGATGCAGATGAAAGAATTATTGATAAAAAATGATGCATGGGGATACGGGAATGAAGAAATCAAAAAACTATCGGTGAGGAATCCGTGAGAAGGGTTGAACTATGGATAAAGAGTGATGCAAAAGCCAAGTCTGATATCATTTTGTCTATACATCCATCATAGTTGAAACAAATCAAAGGTTGTAGTACTTCCCATGAAGTTTGGATGAACTTGGAGAATATCTACCAATCCAAAGGCTGCCAGGAAGGCTACACTTCTAAAGCAGTTGACACTACAAAGAATGGAAGAAGATAGTGATTTACGTAACCACATTAACAAATTCTTTGATGCAGTTGATGAACTGGGTGAAATGGAAATGGATATTAATCCAGATTTGTTGTCAATTATGTTATTATACAGTTTGCCTTCAAGTTTCGAAAATTTTTGGTGTGCAATCGAATCGAGAAACATTTTACCTACCCCTGATTTTCCAGATACCAGATGTTCAATGCAAAACGAAATGTACTCGAAGAAATTGAACCATAATTGGAATAGAAAGAATATGGTTAAACCCGGAAATTCTGCAGATACAAACTGAAGCTGAAAGTTTCAAATACCGTTGTCACAGATGTCACGAAATAGGACATAAAGTATCAGAGTGTAAAAATAAAGGTAAAGAATCTCGACCTACCGCAAATAATGTTGAATATGTTGGTATATTGACATTGGATTCTTATCAAGTTGGTTTATCTAATGAAAAGCTCAAATGGTGTTTGGACAGTGGCGCTACTTCGCACGTGTGTAATGATTTGACTGATTTCGTGTAAGTAAACGACTCTATTCGTGAAAAACTCAATTTAGCGAATTGTACGTCAACCGAAATCGTCGGCAAAGGATCAGTATCGTTTTGCAGATGTATTTGGTGAATTGGAAAATATCAATCTATCAAGAATCACTAAAAATGGCTTCGATGTTTTATTCAAGAAGGACAATGCTCTAGTGCTGAGCCATGATGGAAGTGTGAAATTAGTAGCTGATCGAATTGGTGATTAATATTTTGTACGTGAAGAATCCCAACAAGCTCTCAGTGTCCCAACTGATTCAGCATTTATTTCACAATCTCCAGAGTCAATGACTATATGGCATCAACGCATGGGCCATTTGAATAGGAGAGATCTTCTGGAAGCTGCTCGGACAGGTGCAATACAGGGCGCTGGAATGAAAAATGCCAATGAGGAACTAGATTGCGATATTTGTTATCGAGGAAAATTGACGAGATATCCTTTTCCGAAGAAAAACTGAGCTACTGGAAATAATACACACAGATGTGTGTGGATCCATGCGGGTTAAATCGATTGGTGAAGCAAAGTTTTTCATAGAATTCATCGATGATCATACCACATGGTGTGAGGTACGTTTCATCAGATCAAAATCTTACGTCTTGAAAATCACGATAGATTTCATCAACATGGTTGGAACAAAGGAAGGAAAGAAGATGAAGTGTTTACAGTCCGATAATGTAACTGAATATATGAATAAAGGATTTGATGATATCTTGAAGTCACGTGGAATTGTACGACGTTTGACAGTACCATATAATCCTCAACAGAATGGAATTGCGGAGAGGAAGAACCGATCATTGCGGGAAGCTGCACGTTGTCTTCTCATGCAATCGGGTTTGCCTACTTATCTCTGGGCAGAAGCTGTTAATACAATACAGTAAAATTGACTGTTTGAATATGAAGTCTGGCCAGGGAAAAATCGAATCAAGGTGTAAAGAAGGAAGATTTCTAGGATATTCCGAAGAATCCAAAGGATATCGGGTATGGATTCCGGAGGAGAAGAGAGTAGAAATCACGACGTAAAATTTATGGAAAATTTCAGAAACGTCGATGCAAATTTCGCTGATTTCATACCAGAACATCTATCTGTGCCCGAAGATGAACGAGAGAATCCAAATCCCGATAGTTCAAATGTTGTTATGAACTCATCTGTTGAAAAAAATGGAAATTCCAACGAACAACTGGATGAAATTGAAGGAGGAGAAGAAGCAGAAGTTGAAGATATCAATGAGACAATAGATCTGGAAGAAATTACTGTAGTAAATCTGGAAGAAATCCTGGAAAAAAAACCTGAAATAGGCAGAGAAGAACCTTTTGCAGAACCACATTGTAGTCGAGGACCCGGAAGACCTAGAATTATTAGAACTGGTTCCCGTGGGAGACCGAAGAAAGAATTCGACATACGATATGAGGTGCAATTTATTCAGATGATGCAGGACAGGTATTTGCTGCGGAAGTACCGATGAAACAAGCAATGTCTGGGGAAAATTCCGATGAGTGGTTGGAAGCAATGACAGATCATATTGAAAAATGACACTTGGATACTTGTAAATATTCCCGAAAACCAAAATATCATTGGAAGTCGCATGATAATATTGAGGGACAAGTAAAAGGCTGACGGAACCCTAGAACGAAAGAAGGGCAAGATTAGTTGCTCAAGGATTCCCGCAACAACCTGGAGTTCATTTTCATCAGACATTTCCATGAACGTGTTTCATTTAGTATGAGCATAATACTCCTAATCGCCGGTAGCCGTACCATGAACGTGTTTCATTTAGTATGAGCATAATACTCCTAATCGCCGGTAGTCGTACGTGGCGATCGTTTGTCACCTATGTTTTATGGTAGATCACAGCACAGGCCCTAAAAGTCTGAGCACCCATGGCGAACGGATAGTAAGGGCACGGCCCGATCCCAGACGCGTTTACAGCTTTGTTCCATTTGGGGATGGGTGACTGAAAGGGAAAAGCGCCGCAGGCGAATTTTTGTTGTTGTTCAAGGTCAAATTCATAGTTCGGTGTGTCAGCGAGGTTTCATTGAGGTGGAAACAAATTATTTCAAATTCAGCTGGAAATTTAATATTCCGGCGTTAAGGCAACAAAAATCGAATTATAAAAAATGAGTTTCCTTCCACCCGAACAAAATGCGTCGGTAAGACACATTATTGAATACGTTAAATCACATTATTGTTGCTATTTTTATCAATTTCTCCACCCGAAGACTCCAAATCGCGAAGTTCTCACAGATTAGATACTTTTCTGAGAAAGCAAGTTTGAAAATCATGACATAAACACCATCGAAAATTTGCTTTCGAATGTTAAGTTTCGGTTTTGTCGCTGGAAAAGTTAGGGCAAACTTTGCCGCTGGGTGTTTCTTGAGTACGTGTAAAAAATTCAGGAGCATATTGCTGTCGTCAAAATAAGAAGAAAATTCGTATGAACATAGTTCCGCAAGTTATTCGTTTCTGAGATACAAAGTGTCACATTTTGATTGTTATCTCGGTCTTTTGTGAATGAATTGAAAAATAATCACGTTTATTTTTCGATTTATTATTATATATTCACTAAAAACAGGAAATATAATCAAACTTTGACACTCTGTATCTCAGAAATGAATAATTTGCGGACATATGTTTATACGAACTTTCCTGCTCATTTTAACGTTAGCAACATGCTCCTGAAATTGTTACACATACTTAAGGAATACCCTGTATATAAATTGAATTGTCAAAAGAACAAACGAACTTGCACGCTGCTGTTCTGGCATTTTTCAGTTTTTAGGGAGAAATAGATTAAATAGGTAGGTACTACTAGTTACTATAGATGGAAATCCATGGCAAATGTAAAAACTTCATAAACGATGAGATTTCTACAAAATTTTGTGGAAATCTTATCGTTTGTTATGTTTTTACAACTACTAGTTACGTATTGAATGAAATAAGATTCATTTTCTAAATCTTGAGGTGGATGCATGCAAGCAAAATTCAAAACTTAAATGAATTTCAAACTAAAACCAATAATATAATACTATGAAATGTATTATAGGTGATCATGCAAGGAACTAAACAATTAAAACTAAAATTAAAACTTAGAAAGATGGCCAACATTAAACTTAGAAATTGATTTCTTCCACAATTCACGACAGCGCATGATTCAAATAATAACTAGCCTGCTGGAAAAAAATTGAGCAGCTGATGAAAGGTTATTGCATAAACACCCATATATTTTTAACTTAAAATTCGTTTGAATCTTAAATTCATTATAATTTACTTGACGTTGCATGAATCCCCCTTGATGTTAATTTTGATTGAAACACTGAACTTTCTTCGATCATCGGGGTGAGGGGGTTGAAGGTAATTACCCCCGTCACCTGCGTGGAGGGCCATGTCCAAGGCGTTCAAAGGGAAGTCGACAATGGCGTTAACTCACGACTCGGGATGAATATTTGATGGGAAGGAAACCAGCTCGACCATTTCGAACGGGAGAACTCAACAACTTCAAGAGGGACGTATTTTAATATAATAGGCTAAGACCATATGCATGATATACTAACTGTTCAACAAGGCGGTAGTATATGTGTAGGTACTTGCCATAACATATGCCTTTGTGGTGTGGTGGCCTAGATACTACAAGCAATAATAAGCAAGGTACAAGGTGCGAAGCACTACTGGCTCAATGAAGTCGATACCTTATGCAGCCAAAGAGAAATTAAAATGGTATTGAATTATTCCCTTTAAATTCCAGAACATCTTGGATAACATTCAGAGTATAGTACAGGACTGGGAGTTCATATAAGGTTTTTCCTAAGTCAATATATCTTTCGGAGGTACGCTTTTGGTTGTGAACATGAGGTTTTTAGTTGATGACTTCTCAACCAGTCTGATTTGAATGACATTTTGGTTATGAGAACTGGACTGTTTGTATGTGATATACTTGCTCATGTCGATCAAACTTTTCTGGTAGAGCAGGGACGGACTATCAATTTCTCTGGGTAGGTATAATGTTTACATGAAAATACTGCTGATTCAAAAAATGTTGGTTTATAAGTACCTACCTCTTTATGACTGTAGGAGACAAGAAAACATCCTTTCAGACGGAGGTATGGGAAATTACTAGAAAAACAGATTATGTGTACAAAAACGTTAATCAGAAAATAGAAAGCATGACAACCAAGATCATAACTACATCTTTGATGAAGTTCATTTTTTTTTCTCAAATTTACGTTGACAGAAAAGGAAGTATCCAATCTGTGGAAATGTTGCGATTTGGAGGGACTTCCAGTGGAGTAATTGAAAACAACCATCAGTAGAAATGTGATTTTACGTACCTACTCATTGAATTCTCTTACCGAATTACTCTAACTTTGTTCAGGTCAAAGTAAAACTTGACATTTACAATTCGATATTTGTTGCCTGCTTTAGGAAATTGCCAGGTGGATAAAACAAACTGAATTTGAAATCGTTTTTTTCCGCCTTCATGATTCGCCGCTGACAAATCTAACTATGAAATTGAGGGCATTTGACCTTCAACAAAAAACTTTCTCCCTCTCATGGAACAAAGCCGTAGACGCGTCTGTTGAAAGGCATGGAATTGCGATTTTGTGTTAAGACCAAAGAGAAGTTTTCACATTCATTGAGGTAAACAAAAATAGGAGAAATTGCTTAAGATTACCCTCTGTCCGTTCATCTGCGTCCTCTGCTGCAGCATCATCTGGAAGTCCTCGTCGATCTTGCTGTACTTGGCCTCGGTGCGCGGCGTCAGCTGGTACTCGGTCTCCGGCTCCGGGCTGTCGGGGCTCATCACGCCGTTCTTGTGCTCCTTCTTGTTGAGTGCCTGCAAGTGTCAGTGGACCAGCTCAGGGAGCCAGGCTGCGGGGGCAGCACGCACACGCACACGCTCACACGCTCGCCACGTCCGCCGCACAGTTCTGATATTCGAATGCAAACGAGCAAGTCCATTTTTATCGAAGTGGAGTGAAGTGTTAAGGTGGATGTATGCAACACACACCACACACCACGCCCCCCGAAAGGTTGAATGCCCAGGATCAAGTGCCGCCATATAACTAGCTTACATTATATGATAGCTCCTCATTCCCAGCTCCATCCACCCCCACTCACTAACGAGTGGACTTCTACCTTATGCATTTGGCAATCTGCATATGTTTTATAAAATCCCCTTACTTGGTTTCAGTCTTCCTTCCGACTTTTAAAACTTTTTGTCTAATGTGTGTTTCCTAGCCTGATTTTGCGTGGTGGTTCCCTACCCTAATGGGAAGCAAATTTGAGTTTATGTATTATTATTATTGGTTTTTATAGGGTATCAAAGGAGAGACTCTTCTGTTTTATTATCGGATGATTATTATGCAACTTTTATAGATATTGATTTACTTTTTGTTTGATCATCTTATATTTGGTGAATTGGGCGCCTGTACTTTATTCTTCCGAAGCGCGGGTCTTGATTTAGTTGTCTGTTAGTCAGGTCGTGCAGTAGTGGGTTTTCGTGGATTTCTGTTCTTCCGAATGTAGTCTCCGCGTGTTGTCTTATGTAGTTGTCTATGTAGTCTGGGTTTATGTTCAGGTCCCTATAGATAAATTACATTTAGAAATGTCTGTATTCGCTTTTTGTATGTCTCTGCGCAATGGCCCCATGCACTTGATGCATACAAAATTATTTGAAGTAGAATGGTTCTTATTAGGCGCAGCTTCAACTCTAGGGCCATGTTGCTTCTGCGACCTACTAGAGGCTGTAGGTTTTGCCTTGCGGCTTTACCCAAGTTTAGTCGTGTTGTGATGTGTTGTCTGAAAGTAAGTTTGTTGTCTAGGGTTACCCCTAGGTATTTGCCTCATCTGCCCATGGTATCTGTGTGTCGTTTAGTATTACGTGTCATGTGGGTTTGATACGTCGTCTAGTGAAGAGAACAGCTTGGTTTTTCTCTGCGTTGATTTCTATTATCCAGTTGTAAAACCAGGTTTCTAATGTGTCAATTTGTTCTTGTAGGTATTTATGGCTGTGTCGTCGGCGTATAGTGCGAGTTTGTTGAAGTTGTTCGCGGGTTTAGGAATATCTGCGGTAAAAATGGAGAAAAGTAGTGGTGAAAGGACCGCACCGTGCGGTACTTCTGCTTCTAGCTCCCTCTCTGCGGAGATTTCGTTACCAACTTTACATTGGCATCGCCTTTCCCGCAGAAAGGACGCTATTAGCTTTACCATAGATATCGGGTACCCGTAGTCTACCATTTAGGTTAGTAGTCCGTCGTACCAGGATTCATGCAGCAACATTTAACAATTATCAAGTAACATTTATCAATTAATAAGTGATGAGAATTTTTACATTTATGCGAACCAAATTAACAATTAATGGATTAATAGTACGCAAGCGCACATGCCCTAAATCTGGACTATCCAAGCAATAGCCTTACAAATTCATTCTTTACAATTTACATAAGAAGCTTAAATTTCGTATTCCATAAGGCCTGTTCGTTTTTCATGTTCACCCTGCTTAAAAGTGATGTGAGCAATATTTGATGTTCGTTTGTTCCGAGCAATTGATGATTGAGTGTTCGTTTGACTGGAGCAAGTTGCCATATATATCACCTGAAGCAGGATTTATTTGTTCCGCGAATTTTAATGGAGCAGAAAAATCAAATCAGATTGATCAAGTTGATGGATAACTGAAAACAAAGAAAATGGCGAAAAATGCTACAATATTGTCTAAATATGACCACAGATTGAAGAATAGAAGAATTTTCAACATTGCCGATGTTATAGACGCGAATTCAGACATCAGCCTCGAATAATGCCAACGGTTTTATCACTTATTCTTTTCTCTCGATCAACATCAACGATAAAAACCTTCCATCAAAACCAAATCAAAACAAATTTGGAAATTACTTAGATTAGGCTACGTTTAGAAATGATTTGTGCCACTGTTTTGTGTTCGTTTGTGTTGAGCAGTATATCTAGCTTTCTGTTATATTAATGATTTTTTGAGCATGTTGAGCATTTCAAACGAACTGGCATATAAGGTCTGTTTGTTGGTGTTGCTTCACTTGCTAAAGTTGGTTTTGTTTCCATAGTTGCCTCTGTTCATGTCATAATGTGAACAGAGAAAGTCATAGAAAAAAATCAAGTTACGCAGGTAAAGCAAACACAAACGAACAGGCCTATAATGTTTTCTGATCTGGAAGAGATATCTGACATTGGTCTGACCAATCCATGCCTTCTCTACCAGTCGATGAAACCAATCCGCTATCATTTGCGTACTAGTGGCGCACAAGAAGAAAACCTGGTTCATTCAAAGTAGGAAAGTTGAAAGTTGGCCAACTTCTTACTTGTTACTTGATAATTGTTGAATGTCTGCATAAACACCTTCATTGAAAACAGGAAGTTCAACTTTTAATTGCTATTTATTAAAGGCCAGGCCAGGCCAGGCGAGGTAGCCGTGCGGACGGAGTGTCAATATTCTAATCCGCATTCGCTTGCCGGTCGTGGGTTCGATTCCCAGTGACTGCAGATTTTTTTCTGATGGCCCAAGAAAGTGTTTGGGATCACACGTTAAAAGGTAAGGCCCCCGTCATTCCTTGCTGACTTCAGAGGGTTGCTCGTAAGGGGGCATCCGAATGACTGATAGAACAATTTCACAACAAATGATGAATGTTACTTGATAATTGTTAAATGATGCTGCATAAATCCACCTTCAGTTACTGGATGATACTCGAAATCGTCTCCACGACGTTTCAATGCGAGAATCACATCAATAAAAAAGGCTATCCAGGTAGCAGTGACGTCTTTTGACCAAAATATGACATAAAAATGATGTCATATTTCATGGAGTCTTATTGACGTTGAATACTGGAGGTCCTAATGACGTCCCTATAAAGTCGTATATTATTCTTCCATTCGACGAAAATCAGTCGATTTCTTACATGTTAATGGTCTGTTGTAGTAAATTTGTGTTTGTATATACAGTGATTTCGTAAAGTACTGAATGAATTAATTTTCAGCCAAATTATCAATTTTTGAGGAATCTGCTGAAACAGGTCTATTTTTATTCTCGATGTGCCATATTAATACGGAAAAATTGAATACACAGGGTGATCCACGTTTGAGTTACGACGATCACGACAATTTTTTTGAATGGAACATCCTATACAGTGTGTCCCACTTACCATGCTCACCATGGGTATCTTTTTAACGGTGAGAGATACGAAGTCGGTTGAATGACACCAAATGTGGAGTTTGTCAAGGTCAACTATAATGTGAAAAAATATTTTGATAAAATCTATTCGTTTTTGTTTTATACGCAAAAAAGAGATTTTGATCATTTTCATGTCTCCTCCGTAACTTCTTTATTTATGAAAATATTCAAATAGGAATTTCACATTCTCATGGCAGTTTTTCAAAGTGATTTCGAAAAAAATATGAAATTTATACCAACTCTTCTAGAATTTGAGATATCAGCACCAACTTTATTCTTTCAAATGTAGGTCATAGCTCACTATGACTTAGTTACAAATAACTTTTTTTTCTCTTACAGATAATATGTCGCAGTAATAGTTTTGTGTTGATAACAACGGAGTAATCGTCATTTATACAAATACAAAAGATTATTTGAAAGCCGTCATTTTGAATTCATAAATTTTAACAAAAAAATCATGATCTCCGACCTCAAAAACCCCTACTTACCAATTTTGAATGGAATCGGACCAACTCTTGTCCGCCATCTTGGAGCAGCCATTTTTTTCAATTTCAACAAAAATTCCATTATGCATTGTCACCGAAATTATGAACACCGGCCAAATTTCAAGTTAATCGGAGATCATGATTTTATTGTTAAAATTTATAAATTCAAGATGGCGGCTTCCAAATAATTTTTTGTTTTTGTATAAATGACGATAACTCCGTTTTTTTCAACACAAAACTATTACTGCGACATATCATCTGTAAGAGAAAAAAAAGTTATTTGTAACTAAGTCATAGTGAGCTATGACCTACATTTGAAAAACTAAAGTTGGTGCTGATATCTCAAATTCTAGAAGAGTTGGTATGAATTTCATATTTTTCTCGAAATCACTTTGAAAAACTGCCATAAGAATGTGAAATTCCTATAAGAATATTTTCATAAATAAAGAAGTTACGGAGGAGACATGAAAATGATCAAAATCTGTTTTTTGCATATAAAACAAAAACGAATAGATTTTATTAAAATATGTTTTCACATAATAGTTGGTCTTGACAAACTCCACATTTGGTGTCATTTAACCGACCTCGTATCTCTCACCGTTAAAAAGATACCCATGGTGAGCATGGTAAGTGGGACACACTGTATATACCACTCAATTTTTAGAATCACCAATATCGTAAAGTAGTGGATGAATTCATTATTCTCATACATATTATTATCAATTTCTGAGAATATGACACATTTGGAGAAATCGAATAGGTTATACAGGATGATACGCGTTAGAATTATGACATCCGCGACACATTTTTCGAACGGGACACCGTTTATATTGAATTTTTGTGATACATGGCATCCGTTAAACTCATTGCTCTCGTAAAATGGGGTCGCCATTAAAAAATACCGATGAGTAATTTCTCCTACACGAATAATTAATTATTAATTGAATGTGAAAGAAAAAGCTCGAATGAAATTAAATTTACTGCGAAATTATATTTTCCTTTAATTTTCAACGAACTGCACTTTATCAAGACTCCTTCATTCATAGAACGGCTAGGCTCTGGAATTCATTGCCTGTGGAAGTATTCCCAACAACATATAATCTCCAAAAATTCAAAAAAAATTCCAATACCTACCTCCTGTCCCTATCCTCCCTAGGAACGCACGATGTTCTTTGAACATTATAGGGATTCCCTTTCGTGCGCTCCAATCGATAAAAAAAAAAAAAAAAAAAAAAACAATTTTACAAAAGCACTCAATTCAATGTAGTGCATACACATTCTATGTGTAACATATTTTTGAATTCAGAGAATCGAATAACTTATCATCCTGTATATATAATTTTCCTTATAAATGAAAATCGTCCTGTTTTAGGAGATTTATCAGAATGGAATAACTTGGGACACCGGTATACATTTTTCGAAACATGTACCATTTTTTATCAATGCGATTCTCACATTAAAATGTCGTGGAGGTGATTTTTTTTTTCATTTATATAGTATAGTTGCTTTGATATTTAGTAAAACTCGATAACGTGGGGATTTATACAAGGTGACATACTTGTTTTCGAATCACAAGACCAAAAATAAATGTGTTCAGGACACAGTTACACCTTCTTGAACAAAAATCGAAGACTACTGTGTAAATCTTCAGGGGTTAAAAATAAATAAAAGAAAATGATATGGTCCAAATGATTCCTTCATTTCAATAAATTTCTCCTTCACAGTCCGCACATTAGTTTTCTCCCTTTCTATTCCTTTGATTAATTCGGTACTTGATCAGCCACAAAACTATACAGCATTTTTCATGAAATACTTGTTAATTTTTGAAAATCGCTACCCAATATGATTTCTCGAATTCTCATCCCTCCCTTTAAAAAAATGCAGTATGCTTTGGTTGAGAGTCCCTCATTGATATATTCTAATATCAATGTTCCTGGATTATTGCCACCTACTTACTTGAAACTATTAACGAATGTGTCGATTATCCCTAGTGAAATGAGTGTGTACTAATTCTCAAAATTCAGCCATTCAGTTATATTACTATTTTCGTTTTTCCACCACATAAAAATAATTTTGCAAGTATCTACCCTAGGTAACATGGTGTTTGCACTTCGAGCGCTTTATCATAGCTCTATGAAATTCTAGTACCATCGTTAACTGATAGATCGCCCCGTAAGACACAACACGAAGGTTTGTTCCGCGAAAATCACAAAGTGTGCGGCCACTTTGGTGTTGAAATTCAGAACGTTTCCGAAAGTGATCAACAAACAAATTCAGCATTGTCAACATAGGATTCATAATTGTTTTGAGCAGATTTTGAATTTTGATCCTTCTTCGATAGTTTTTTGACTAATTTTATTCAGATAATCTAGGTTCATGTTGTTCAAATGAACAACCCAGTGAAAGTTGAATACAGGAAGTATTTTTCAGTTTCTTCGTGCTCTTCGATCCTATTGTACAGTCATTTTTACATTTTTTGAGGAAACAGAATTGCGTGAAAGAGTTCTGAGGATTGAGAAACCCATTTGGCAGTATACCCAAGATGAATCACCAGGGATTTATCTCCAGAACCACTTTTCTTGTATCCTATGTGATTCATGAACAAAAAAGGCAGGATACATTTGAATCCAAGATGTACATACCTATAGTTTATTATGATTTGAAACCCTAACAGTGACGTAACACCAAAGGAACATAATGCTCATTTTATAGATAGGTATATCAGTTTTACATCACTGAATGTATTTCCATGAATATTGAAATTTGAAGCTTTAAACAAACACTTGGAATAACTTCTCGTCTCTGGGCAACTCAAACAAATAATGCTAACCATGATTCTTAGAATTTTTTCAATTCGTTACCGAACAAGACATGTTCAAAACCATTTTCGCGAGCACGCCTATTAAATTTTCAGAACTGACGATTTAAATCTGAGATTGGTGACAATTCGGGACTGTCAGTGATGACAATCGTTTCCTCATTCTTTAATGGGCATTGTGATACTGGAATTTTGTTGCAAAGAAACACTAGTGACAATTCCAAATCATCACTCGAAATTCCGAAGATAATTTTGGAGAAAAATTGTCATGTAGGTATATGTTCATGAAAGAACACAAGATGAATCAGAGTTAAAAAGTGTGTCTATACATACCAATTTCTTGTAATACTCTAGTTGTGTGTAAAGGAAGCTAGTGTGAAAATTCCAAGTCATTACTTGAAAACTCAAATAAAAAAAGGAAGAAAATGTGTATTATAGATATCCATGAAAGAACATGCATAGAATTAATCTGAATTTCAGATCAATGTGAATGAATGTAAATTATCAAAGTTGATTTTTCAGTCATTTCAGATGTAGGTATTTACCAGAATTTTGACTACAACTTATTCCTCATAAAGTCTTAGCTCCCTCCGGTGGCAGTAGTAAAACAATTTGGAAAACAATATGAATTGAGAAAACTTGTGTAAAAGTGCGTTTTTTCATTTTATAAATGTTGATTGATAGCTCATCATCAAAATAAATATCATAGAATGATAATTTGGTATTCTAAAATATATATTTTTAAACGGCCAATTTACATTGGATCCATAGGAGAAATGGTTGGTGATCAGTTCCACTTCAAAATTCGACGTTTTTTCAGCGTCATCTAGCTGTTGGTGATTCTTAGGAATAACCAATAACCTTGATGATTGATGAAATGGAATTGAATTAATAACTTCAACATGCAGTATCTACTCCTTCACCTTCACCTCAATTTTTTGTCTTTCCGAACATCAATTCGCTGGTTGCGGGGTTTTGCTTTTGAGGCTATTCAACAGATGATACTAGCTCATCTCTTGGATGTCGTACGAATCAGATCCCAAGTATTGTCACCTTGTGTACCCATGTAATACGCAACCATCATAACATACAACGCGAAATCAGAACTGTGCGTCCATCTACCACACATCTAACAAACAATCAGGTTAAGGTTTTTCGAAACTGAAGCAACAACTCGTGCGAATAACAGGCAATGCAGCAAATCGATAACCAATAAGCAAAAAAAAAACAAATAAATGAATGTATACCGATAGGTATATAGGTTAAGAGTTAGTCCAATCGAGTTGAGTTATCGTATTTGCATCGGCCGGCATATTGAGCAAGTTGCTGCTGGACTTGATGTACCTCGATGATGTTTTTGTTGGTGAGAGACTCGTGAGGCTCGTTGTATTCTGTGTACTTAAGTAGAACCTTGTCCATGTCAGTGCTGGCGTATTGGTACAGTTTGTTGCTGCTACTGAAGATTATCAGTGCTATCTCGCAGTCGCATAGCACCGACAGTTCGTACGCCTTTTTCATCACTCCGAATTTGCGTTTGTTGAAAGTCACCTGAAACAAGAATAATAGGATTTCAAATTTACGGATAAATCGATGTTCTTGAATACCATATCAAATGATATGAGGAATATTCGAAGTCATTTTGTTGTATTCAACAGCAATAAACTATGTATATGTACATACTTTCCTCGCTCATATCAAGCAGACCTCGAAAAAGACTCAGTTGTGTGTTCTTATTTGACTAACGAGTAACAATAATTGATTTGACTCGTTGAAATTCCAAATCAAATATTTATCGCTCTAAAGAGAGATGTAGAGAAACAAACAATTAATTCGACAAACGAGACATAGGCAACGAGCAACTACCAGCTCATGGTGGGGTTGAAATTTTTATTCCACCACTAGCTATAAAACCTGGCATTATTTACTCATTTTTGATGCGTAAAGTGTGTTTTTCTACTACACGGAAAAAAAGGATTTGTTGCATCAACAAATTATTTATGCTTGAATTATTTTTGTTGGACTAAGCAATTTTTTGTTGAATCAACCAGATACATGATCATTTCATGAAAGCAGCTTGTTCAAATCAAGAATGTATAGTCTCATTGAATCAACAGTATAATATCAATTCCATCAACAAAATATGGTTTTATCAAAAACAATTTATGTTGATCCAAGATGATGTCGATGTTGATTCAACTATAAACATTTTGTTGATTTGATCAAATAATGATCATTTTGATGGGAATATATCTTTGAAACAACATACAAGTTTTCTTATTCCGATGTAGCAATGAACTTGTTTCGAACGGATCATTTGCTTGAATAGAGCAACGAAATATGTAATATCAATAAAATATTTTGTTCATTCTACATCAACTTAAATTTCCGCCTCTAGATGGCGATCATTTCGCCCCGTCTATGCGTGCATCGAATTCATTATATACGTGAAGCCTGATTCTTCGTGTTTGAAATAACAGCTGGATGAATCGAACTTAGGATGATTAGAAATCCGAAATAGTTTTCCATCAGCTCTGAGGAGAAGTAAAGACTGAAGATCTATGCTAGAAGTCGACTTGTTTCCTAGTTTTGTTTATTCTATTGATGTGAAATTTAAGAAAATTCCCGAATATTGAATTTGGTTCACCAAAATAATTTGTCGAATGGATATATAGTTCCTCTTGAATCAACAAAATATTTCATTGAATTAACCAAATATTTCATAGAATCAACCAGATATTTCTTTGAATCAACCAAATATTTCGTTGAATCAACCAAATATTTCGTTGAATCAACTAAATATTTGATTGAGGCAATATGTTGTTATTTTGAATCAAACAAAAAGATTGTTTGATCCAATTCAATATCTCTTCATAAACAATTCATGAATGTGCTTGATTGAAGAGGATCCAGAGTTAATGCAAGACATATTTACTTGATTCAAACTTCAAATTCGCTCTGAAACAAGATATAGATTTACTCATTTCAAGATTATATTTTGTCGTGCATATATGACACTTTTATTCGCACCATTCAATTAAATTTTGCTTGATTCAACAATTCCTTTTTTTCCGTGTATGCTGCTGTAATGGAGTCATGAAAATATACAGGGGATGCCATTTGAAAATAAAATGTGAGGGTAGCTGCCCAGCTGCCAGAGAACTGTCAAATATAATGGATTCTTTTATATGTCATTAGGAAGGTACTTCGATGCCATTCAATGAAGTTTTTGAATTTTTCAACTATCTTGTCGAATAAGCGAGATATTGCGTGTATACGATAACTTGGAACATCCGGTATGTTTGGCAAAACTTGGTGACATGCCAAAGGCAGGTACTGATCCAATGAAACCACTTCTAACAGTAACCTAATCAAAAATATTTCTCAAGCTTTTTTTATTCAATTTATTTCCCGAAAGGGGGTGCGGGTGCACCCCCTTGCAACCCTGCAACAGGCGCCCATGGTCACTGGTGCTCAATCTCTTTAAAAGTTTGCGCACCGATCATCTCGAAACTGCAGAAGATATCAGAAGAACCTACATAAACTGAAACAGAATCATTCTAAAACATAGTTTGGAATTTGATTTTACAAAGATAAGAAAATCGAATGTCATCATCATCGAATAGGTATTCTATATATTATTATGATTATTTCATTCACACCTGGCTGCGCCTATGAAACTTCATGATTGAAGTCACATGATATGCGATATCAGCGGCTATTTAGGTAAACAAACAATATGAGCGGCTATTCTGATCGATAGCATAAGAGTGCTATGGTGAATGTCAAAGATTGACATATATATCAGTCACTCAAAAATTGAAATGTCTCGTTTTGGGTCAACTTCCAGAATAGAAATCAGTAATTATGTGAGCGAATCAATACCAGGAAATACCAAGAAGAGTAAAGAGACTTTCTGATACAATTAATGCGAATATTCAAATTCTCCTAATCGCCGAAGTCCTGCAAAATTGGGGATGGTGAAAGAGTAAACAGTGGAATTGATGTGGATGCGAAAACTAAACAGAAAGTACCTAAATACTTCAATGAAAATGAACAATGAACGTGAGATAAATCCATTTGAAGATATTGAACTTATATAGGTGTCAGGGATGCGCGTAATGCAAAAATGCGAAGCCAACAACATTTTCCCCAAAAAAGAATGAAAAGTTCAGAAGGACTATTGTAGAAAGGAAGCTATGACGAGAGTACGCCAGACGGCCAACAGAAGAAACTTTTTAAAATCAATAGTATCTGTAGAGTTATAAAAATTGAATTTGAAACCTCTATTTATATGAATATATTCTTATGCTGTTCATGAAATAATCTTCCTGAATATCACTCGACCATGACAATGAGATACTATTATTTTCTGTGATTCATCTCAAGTAACTAGTATTTTGAGATAATTCAATTCGACCATATAAACAACAAGAATCAAAGAATAACTTCCTCGAGCTAAAGCTCAGATTATTAATATTCATATGGTCTCATCAAATTGTCAAAATACAAGGTTACTCTATTTGTCATGGTCGAGTGATATTACATATGATAACATTTTTGTTGCACTGTCGATATAATGAACAGAATATTTATAATATCCATCGTGGAAACTTCTGCAATTGCTCATTTCGCATTGTAGAATTTTGTCTTGATGATAAACTCCAATATCGTGGATCCTACACGAAAAAAAAAGGATTTGTTGCATCAATAAATTATTTATGCTTGAGTTATTTTTGTTGGACTGAGCAATTTTTTGTTGGATTGGAACATTTCGTTGATTTGATCAAACAATGATCATTTTGATGAGAATATATCTTTGAAACAACATACAAGTTTTCTTATTGCGATGTAGCAATGAACTCGTTTCGAACGGATCATTTGCTTAAATAGAGCATTGAAATATGTAATATCAATGGAATATTTTGTTCATTCTTCATCAACTTAAATTTTCGCCTCTAGATAGCGATCAATTCGCCTCGTCTATGCCTGCCTCGAATTCATTATAGACGTGAAGCCTGATTCTTCGTGGTTGAAATATCAGCTGGATAAATCGAACTTAGGATGATTAGCAATCCGAAATAGTTTTGCATCAGCGAAAAAGAAGTAAAAACTGAAGATCTATGCTAGGAGTCGACTAGTTTCCTAGTTTTGTATATTCTATTGATGTGAAATTTCAGAAAATCACCGAATATTGAATTTGGTTCAACAAAGCAATTTGTCGAATGAATATATAGTTTCTCTTGAATCAACTAAATATTTCATTGAATCAACCAAATATTTCATTGAATCAACCAAATATTTCTTTGAATCAACCAAATATTTCGTTGAATAGAATAAATATTTGATTGAATCAATATCTTGTTATTTTGAATCAAACAAAATGATTGTTTGAGCCAATTCAATATCTCTTCATAAACAATTCATGGATGTGCTTGACTGAAGAAGAACCAGAATTCATGCAAGACATATAATTTACTTGATTCAAACTTCAAATTCGCTCTGAAACAAGATATAGATTTACTCATTTCAAGATTATATTTCGTCGTGCATACATGACACTTTTATTTGCTCCATTCAATTAAATTTTGCTTGAATCAACAATTCCTTTTTTTCCGTGTAGAGACATGCAGTGACTTTTCTACTTGAAGGTAAGGAAATCTGAGGTAAGGCTAGAGATTATCACTGGCCAACGTGGATAGAATAATGCCTAGTCCGCCAGAAAATTTATGTGAAATAAACAAATTACACGAGTGATAAGACTATAGGAATTGCATATCTACATTCTTGTTTATCCCAGTTCAGAATAGTACACGATTCTATATTCCAAATGAGTAGGCGATACATAGTCATTCATTAAGTCTGCATCATAATATGGGAAAAACTATTAAGAATAATTCATTTGGAAATTCGACTTGGTCGTTAAGTTTTGCTTTAACAATTATGAAAAATGGACTACTCGGACGATTAATCTCAGAAAATAAGCTTATTTGTTCGAATTTCAGAAAAGTTTACTGAGAAAAGTTGTTTCTATTCCAATTTTACATATTTGTGTTGAATTTGAACAATATTTAGTTTTTGGTAATTCTTCAATTTCTACGAAATGTCTGTAATATTAAAAAATCAACACCGATAAAAATATCTCATTCTTGTAGCTTTATCATAAATGCTCCTAACTTTTAATCACTGAATATCGATAAAGATATGATTTTCTTCTAAAAATAATAATCCCTGCTTCAAAGTTTCTGTTATGTTTGATGCAAAGTTGATATATCGTTTATCATTCAGAAGCGAAAATTATTTGAATTGATTCATTCAGTACTCAAATGATGCCAAAGTCATCTATCAAAATATCATCAAACTAATTTACGTATCAAACCAAAGTTTAGGACAGGTTTGTCGAATTTTCAATTAGAAGAAGTCAAAAAATATCTAGAACTGAACGTTGCAATAGAACGTTCAAGTTCGAGAAACATGTGTAAAATTGAAATAGACACAACTTTTATTTGTACACTTTTTTGAAATTCGAACAAACAAGCCTATTTTCTGCGATTAATTTGAAAAATTTCAACTTTTGACTTGTAGCGAGCCACGTGACTCCGATTGAGTATGCCATTTTTCATTTTTTCTTGAACAAAATTTAACGCCCAAGTCGAATTTCAAAATATATTATCATTAGAAAGCTGAAACCAGCCTCAACATGTTTTCTGCAAATGCAACCGTATGGCTTGTGACCGCACTTTGGAAATCTGGTGGGAAGAGGAATCCAGCGTATTGATCATATTATTTCAGTTTTTAGTAAGTTTCATTCAGGGTTGCATAAAATCGAAACGTTATTTCAAAATACACTTTTTTGCTCAAAATGTGTATTGGAATTAGTTTTCATATATCCCCACAAACAACTTGAAGACATTTTTTGCCACAACTGACATCTGCTATTTTTTGCCAGTGTTTCAACACAGCCTCGAAAATAAAGTCAGAATAGAAATTTTGATAAAATTACGTTGAAAATACCTCAAACTTTTGATGTTTTGATGTCAATCCTCAAACGTACTACAAACCTACAAAGTAAAATCGTATCAGTCCACTGGATTCCTCTTTCAACCAGTTTTACAATGAGGGGTCACAAGCATAAGAAAAAAAAAACATGTTGACGATGATATTAGCTACCCCCTATACAAATACATATTGCTTGAAAAATGTGGGTAAATACCTCGGAAAATACACTCATCGGCAATAAGAATGCTCATCTATTAGACAGAGCTGTCATTGCTTGCAATTTGACATTCCATGAGCGATGACATTTTTTTGAAATAATAACACAATGGAGTCATTGTGATGAAATAAAATTGATGACATACAAAGTACCTCATTGATGTATCGAACACAGTAAAACAAGAGCAATTTTGTGTTGTAACCGTAGAAAAATTTGTTTTTCCTACGACCACCTATGAAAAAGCACAAAACACATTGATTTGTTATTGAGAAAGTGACTCGTTTCACTATGACAACATATAACAGTTAGAAAGTTCGAAAGTAAAACTCACATGGGTGGAAATATTCGAAAATCGCACAGTAACAGGGTATAGATTATGATGTACTGATGATGTAAAGTTGAAATCAAGTTAATTTCAATTGAAAGTTGAATTGATGTCAATGTATTGGCAATTTAGTGATTAATGTGAAGTTGCTGTCAATTTGATATTGAGTTGATGTTAATTTGATTTTAAGGTGGCGGCTCGGTGGTCGAGAGCGTTAAGGCGCTGAGTTCGTATGGGGACTCCCACCGAGACCTAGGTTCGAATCCTAGTTAGGCCATGGATGTTTGTGTTTGTATGTATATCTAACCCCGCACAAGTTTCGACTTATGGGGCGTTTGGTCCCAGTGCTGGGACTAACGAGGTATGCAATTGCGAAAAGGTAATGTCAAGTTAATTTTGAGTTAATGTTCAGTTAATGTTGAATAATTATTGAGTTAATGTTAAGTTGATGTTGAGTCAATGTTAGGTTAATTTTAAGTTAATGTTGAGTTAATGTTAAGTTGATTTCAAGTTAATGTTGAGAAACTGTTAAATTCATGTGAAGTGGATGTTAAGTTAATGTTGAGTTAATGTTAAGTTCATATTAAGTTAATGTTAGGTTAACGTTAAACTAATGATGTCATTTAAATATTGGAGAAAAATTAAATTACAATGATAATGATATCACCTTCATGTGATAGAATATGATTAGAAACATGATCCCTACTCTGGTCTTATAAACACTCATGACATATAATATAAATATTCGTGGTCGTAGGAAAAAAAGTGTACAAAACTCGTTGGAAAGTGCATTTCCAGCGCTCGTTTCGTTTCCGCACTCGCCACTCTACGGGTCGTGCTAAACGTCCACTTGCGCGAAATATGCCACTTTCCACACTAGTTATGTAATATACTATTTCCACCACTAGCTATATAAACTACCATTATTTACTCCTTTTCGAAGTGTAAAAAAAAAAATATACACCTTGGTAGCATAGATTCAAACTTTTTAATCTATGTTGATAGTAATGAATATTATTACCACGGGACCTGACCGCTCGGCTGAAGCAGCGAGATATAATCTTGGTCCCTGGGTAGTAATGATATTCTTTACTACCTTTGTGTATAAATAACTATGCTTCCTTTGGTGAAAGGAGATGATGAAATAGAGTTTATATACGAGAAACTTTTTCAAACTGTGATATTTATCTTACCTGCCGATTCCGTTCATCGGTAATTCTCGATATTTGTATTTTTTTGCGACCCATGGCAGCAATTTTGAAGATCTAAGTAAAAAACCCGTGGCGAGTAAACAGCTTGGTGGTCACTCTGGACGCTATATGGAAAACGATTGGCCACGCCGATAACTCACGTCGTTGTCACTTTCCAGTAATCTGTAACAATAAAAAAAAATTATAAAAACCACATCAAGTGGGATCAGGGATCTTCAAAAGAAAATTTTAACTATTATTGCAATAATAATATATCACTGGATTTTTCCTGTTTTTATTAGGACTATTTGAAACAGGAGGCTCATATCGCTTACATCTATAGATATAAAGTGTGTCCCAGATAAAACTTTAGAACTGAAAGAAAAAATAAAAAAAATCTCAAACAGAAAAACACGAAGAACCATATTTCGCCATTCGAAAAAAAATAAAGTTGACAATCGCTGATATTACAGTTGAAATTTGAAAAAATAATGATCAGAGCATTCTTCTAGTATCTGATGGGTAATTTCATTAACTTTTTTATTATGGATAATATATCGCCCGCCATGCGAAAACACCCTTAGCTTATCGGGTTGAATGCCAGATAAGTAGTATGCGTGATATGTGCTAGAAGGTTACCTATTGATTTTTAAGTTCGAAAGCCATAAAGCTGATCGGAAGAGATATCAAGACATCTTTTGATTTCCCCATTGATAGCAACTTCCATTTCCCAATGCATAAATTACAAGGCAGTTTGCTGAAAAAGTTTTTTTCAGATGGCATTACGACGATTTTTATTCCTTCAAATTCGTGTTCCACGTCAATTTTCTCGCTCAGCCTTTTTCAATTCCAATAACTTCGGAATACTTATTATTTTGAAGGTCGAATAGACATTAGAATGTTGCATAATATACATAGTACCTAGGTCAGATAGATGAATTAGACACTCTGATAGTGAGCCAAGTTCAATAAATAAGAGAGGCGACAATAGTATATACTCTATAGTATTCCTGCAAATCGCAAATTTCTGACAACAAGGTATAGTTTGAGGGAGTGCTCTGAGTGAACGTTGTAATTTTTCTTGTTTTTGTACCTTCCCGAGTGCAGACGTAAATAATTTCAAAAATAAATGAGGTCCAGTCGGTTCCGTATCAGCCTATCCATAATCATCATAAAAATCAATTTCCTCAAATACATACGCTCAAGGGCGTCGCCAGCGGAAAAAATAGGGGGGGGGGCACCATAAAAAAACTGAAGAGAAAAATCAAATAGAAAGAAACAGAAAAAAATCTATACAGTAAATCAGTTGAAAAATAATCTTCTAGGGTTCTTTGGGAATTCGTTGGTCACTTTTTGACGAAATCGTTCAAGTTTTTGAAAATATGTTGCCTGTGTATACTCATTCATATCATTGCGAGGCCATTGAGTCGAGCATCATACATGGTGCTCCTCAACCAGGTTTTGATTCTCCTAAGGCTACTAAATGACCTTTCAACTGTACAAATCTTACAAGGTGAAGGCAACAAAGATCTTCAGATCCTTCTCAACTTCAGGAGAAAAATATACTTTCGGAAGTTCTTTGCTCAAAGTGAGCGTTATCATAAGTAATATCACGATATTCTTAATATTCGAGATAATTCTGTCGCCTCATTGTTCACGAAATTGTGTTGCTGAGCAACACCACGAGTCAGGACGAAAGGTAGGGCTGTACGGCAACACAATAGATTTGACAAGGAAATGAAGAATTATGAGAATATATTCAGAACAGAGTGGAGACTATTCCAGGTTCACGAAGCAAAGAAGCATTTATTTTGAATGAATGATTCATTCTGACAAGTACAGTCATTATTTTTTGCCAAATTGACAGACTTCGCTTCGCTACCCATGGTTACATCGATGAAAACATCTAGTTTTCGCGATAAGCACACGTTTTCTCTGGCTTGTGATTGGTCAGATTATGTGATGAATGAAATAGTCGTTTCAATGATAGCAGGGTGACTGGTGAGCGTTAAACGTAGGGGGGGGGCAGCTGCCCCACCCTGCCCCTCTCTGGCGACGCCCTTGCATACGCTACAAGTGGAGTGGCTTCTATCTGCTATCTGATATTCTGAAGTTAAAATGTTCTGTGATATAGTGAACAATACCTATAAACATTAATTAATAAAATCACAGCAAAGCCATCGGTACTTTGAAGAGGCAATTAAATGACTGAAAATGAAATTGATAACCAAAACTCAGAGAAGGAAACACGGTCTGTAGTTTCAGAGGTAGACTGTAGTGTTACAACTTTTGGTGGAGGCACTTATTTTGTGTTCCTCTTTCAGAAAAACCGATTTTCCCGGAGAACATATCGATAAAGAGTAACTTTTTGATTAAGAAATATTCGAGTTATCTGATGGTGTTCATTGAAATTCTCTAAAATCTATACGATCAAAATGTTTGACTCTTCTAGGTGATGTTTGCTAGGCTAACTCTACATCAGAAACGAGCGATAAGGTAATTATAATATGTAATATCCTGAGATTCTCGCAGAATTTTGTTTTCCAACTATGAAATATTAACAGATGATTGTACTATTTGTTTTGAAGTCTGATTGCCTGATAAATGAGATAAAATTGAGATTTGTCTCAACTTCCATCTATCATATACCACGAGCTAAAGAGATTTCATTAAAAAATTCCATACTTTAGGTAATGTTACAATCACTTGCTAGTATAGATGATTCTCAATTCAGAAAGGAGAACACTCTTGTTTTTTTCATCTGACAGGCCCTATTACAGTTTGCAGGAATATTTTAATGATACATTTCAATTTTGCATGGCACCCTGGAGGGGTATGAGGTGCCGTGGTGATGAAATTCTTTACTATCAAGGTGCATATTAAATTTTTTTCATTACTAGCAATATATTTCAGTTATTATAGCTCTGTGAAACAGTCACACTTATGTGGGTTCCAGGGCATAAAGGAATCAAAGGAAATGAGTCAGCTGATCGCCTTGCAAAAAAAGGTGCAGCATCTGCACTTTTTGTTCCTGAGCCTTTTTATGGGATGAGCAAATGTCACCTGAAGGAAGAACTCAGGAAATTGGAAGAAATTGAAAAGTCCTCCTACTGGAGAACAACTCCAGGTCAACGACAAGCGAAAAGGTTCATCAACCATTCGCAGAACCGAGCCAAAGAGCTACTCAGCCTCAGCAAACCAGAGTAGAAGCTTATCACAGGCTTTCTCACAGGACACGGCCCTCTGAGGTACCACCTCAAAAATATGGGCCTGGCGGAGAATGACACTTGCCGCTTTTGTAACAATGCGACCGAAACCGCGGAACACATACTTTGCACATGTTAAGTATTAGTCCGCCAAAGGCTGAACCACCTAGAACAGGTCTATCTCACCCCTGCTGAGGTGGAAAATTCAACCGTCAGGAAGATTGTAGGCTTCATCAGAAGTCTAGGGTTAGAGGACCAAAACTAGATAAGGGTAATCACAATAGATCTTTTAGGTCGCAGTGATCAAAAGTTCTCCCAGCCTATACGACTCATCTATACAATCTACATCTACATCTGTGAAACGAAAATATGGACATATTTTCACTATGAAAGCACTTCTTTTCAAATCTATTCAAAATCCGTAGCCATGACCATGACAGCATATTATGACAAGTCGTTATTGATAAATACCTACTCAATTCGAGTGCATGCGAATCTCGCATCAGAACAGTGAATTAGGGTTAATTATAACAGAGCTCTATGTCTATATTGACAGATAGAATAGAATAGATAAAATATTATTTTGTCATCTTCAATGAGCCGTGACTTCCTATGCCCCCCCCCCCTCAAACAGGGATCTGAAAGTCAGTTGGTTGGATAAGTACATCTCTAGTTAGGTATTTTTCAAAACTGAGAATTTTGAAAAAGTCATTGCAAACTAACCATTTTTTAGCAATGCTGCTGGCATTGGAGAGGAGTGCGAAATTCGTATTTTCATCATTTTTACACCTATAAGCTGACATTATCTCAAAGTTTGAGAACTTTCTTTACTGCACTTCCATAGATATATCTAGACGATTCGCGAATCTTCTTGGCTGGTTTTTGTGATCAGTGGCGGTTCTTCAAAGAACGCAACGGAGGCTGGGCCTCCTCAGGAATTTCTATTTCTGTATTTTTTTGTCGTAAGTATAAGGGATTGTTGTTATTTGGTATGAAGGTCATTAAAATATGGAGACATCAGCGCCTCTTTTCTATGAACATGAACATTATAAGTATGGTCAGTTTTTTTGAAAAATATCACATCCAAACTTCCCATTCAGCCTCCCCTGTTGAATGGAGCACGAGCCGCTACTGTTTGTGATCGAAGTAACAATAAGCCAATAAGCCGGAAAATTTCATTTGGTGAGAATGTTAAGCCCGATAAAAAAATGGGGGAACTTCTTGCGTATTGTTGGAGTGAATTGAAACACACTGTATTTTAGATTACCAATTTTCATTCTGACGACTGGTCTATCACCCGCGCCAAAATGCCTTTAACCCTTCAAAAGTGGAGTAGGTTAGGTACGTCGAATACGAAAGCTATTTCCACGTTCGATTAATGCTATTGATGCCGACGATTTTCCACGATATCCCAGTGAATTGAACGAAAGTTCACGTATATCGTTCGTGTTTTCATTTTCGTATCAAATTTCACATTCGCGATTTCCCTATACTCGAACTTGACTCTGATCCATTTCATTTGACCTGCTGCGCAAGAAAACAGTTCAAAATGGTACCCTGTTCCTAGGGAGAGGCAGGGACGGGTCCCAGTCCTATAGGCGAGTTGACAAAATGCCTGAAAAAGTTTCACAAAAAATGTTTCATAGTAATTTTTTTTTTCTGACTTCAAACTATGGATTTCCTACTTCAAAATGAGAATTTTCAACAAAAATAAAATTAAATTTCGATTTTGTAGTCGGAATTTCCAAGTTTAATCATGAAGGAAGATTACATTTTCAGTTCAAACTATATAGGAACTTCCAACTGAAAACTCGTACTTTCCGACCAGGGTTGGCACGAATTAATTCATATGAATTAAATCAGTGATTTAATTCGTGAATTAATTCAAATGACTTTTTTCAAATAAGTCGTGAATTAATTCAAAATTCATCAAATGGGAACAAATCGCATTATTACCTTCAATTCAAACTAGTTTAA